GGGCGATCCTCGTAACAGGGGCTGGACCTGGTGGGCAGGAGACCCTCAGAGGACCCGCCTTCTTTTGGGGGCCGGGGAGAGGCCCGCCCCGAGACTAGATCTCCCTCTCGACCAGATCCGCTCACCAGGCTCTGGCGACATCAGTATCTACAACAACTGGATCAAGTACTTCAATCGCAGCAGCCCGGTGTATGGCCTGGTCCCCAGGTGAGTCCAGGGACGGGAAGGGGGTCCCGGGCGCGGCGGGCCGGCCCAGCGCCCTCCAGCTCAGCCCCCTTCCTGCCCGCAGCCTGGGCTCCCTGGGCGCCGGCAGCGACTACGCACCCTTCATTCACTTCCTGGGCATCTCCTCCATGGACATCGCCTACACCTATGACCGGGTGAGTAGGCCCCCTCCTCTCTGTGGGGTTGTCCCAGCGTGGACTGAACTCTGCTCCTTCACTCTCCTTTATTCAGTAGCCGTGCTACCTCGGCCCAATTTCTTAACCTCTCTGAGCATCTGTTTACACTCATTATGCTCTTATATAACACCAAATGAAAGATACTACGGATTGTAAGTTGCACTTTTGTCATGCACTGACTGGAGGAAAAAACCCGCTGCCAGTTAGTTGTAGGGTGACACTGACGAACAAGCATCCTGATTCCAGAGATCTTAAAATGTGGATTCTCAGCATTGATTAAATAAAATTTTGAAACATGAACTTCGAATCAGTGACAAGGGAAAAAATTAAATTTAAAGTTAAAATATTATGAAACCGAGATGCTCATATCATGGGGCGGTGGAGGGTAAATCAAGATCTGGGGGGCAGAGTGCCCAGCTCACATCTCCCTGTCTGATGTTCCAACAAGAACCTTCTCTACCTCATGGCCACCCCAGTCACCCCAATTCTGGTAGAGCTGGGATCCGAATCCCCTTATCTGACTCCAAAGCCCCAGGCTCTTCTCCTTCACAGGAAATTCACCTCACCTAGTTCTGCCAGTTATTAGCTGTGTGATGTCAGGGAGGTTAACTTATTTTTTTGAGTTGGAGTCTCATTCTGTCGCCCAGGCTGGAGTGCAGTGGCACGCTCATGGCCACTTCAGCCTCAACCTGCTGTGCTCTGGTGATCCTTCCGCCTCAGCCTTCCAAGTAGCTAGAACTACGGACACGTGCCACCACGCCCGGCTAGTTTCCTTTGTGACTTATTGTAGAGACGAGGTCTTGCCAAGTTGCCCAGGCTGGCCTCGAACCCCTGGGCTCAGACAGTCCTCTTGCCTCCACCTCCCAAAGTGCTGGGATGACAGGTGTGAGCCACTGTGCCCGGCCAGGTTAACTTTTTTGAGCCTCAGTTTCCTCCTTTGAAAAGTAAGAATTCTAGTCAGGCTCGGTGGCTCAGCCTGTAATCCCACGCCTTTGGGAGGCTGAGGTGACTGGATTGCCTGAGCCCGCAGGTTTAAGACCCGCCTGGGCAGCGACACCTCATCTCTACAATAAATCAAAAAATCAGCCAGGCATGGTAGCGCATGCCTGTAATTCTGGCTACTCAGAAGGCTGAGGCGGAAGGATAGCTGGAGCCTGGCAGGTCAAGGCTGCGGTGGCCAGGGAGCAGCCAATGCACTCCAGCCTGGGCGACAGAGTGAGACTCCAACTCAAAAAAAGAAAAGAAAAGTAAGAATTCTAGAACCCACCTGATGGAGGTGGCAAAGATTCAGTGGAGGTAACGCTCGACATCACAGCTCGCTGGAGGTCCACCTCTCCCACTTCCGGTCTCGACCCTGTCACCTCGAGGCCTTGTTTCCCCCAGAGCAAGACATCAGCCCGGATCTACCCCACCTATCACACAGCCTTCGACACCTTTGATTACGTGGACAAGTTTGTGGACCCTGGTGAGGAGGGGGGCAGGGGACATCCTGAGACTGGAGGAGGATAGGCTGAAGTCTGAGCCCTGGCCTTGTCACCCTCCCCACAGGCTTTGGCAGCCACCAGGCCGTGGCCCAGACAGCGGGGAGCGTGCTTCTCCGGCTCAGTGACAGCTTCTTCCTGCCCCTCAATGTCAGTGACTACAGCGAGACCCTCCGCAGCTTCCTGCAGGCTGCCCAGCAGGACCTTGGGGACCTCCTAGAACAGCACAGCATCAGCCTGGGTACGGACACCCTTGACATTGAGAAGCGCGCAGCCCTGCGTCCTCAGGGCTAAGCCACTGGTTGCTCCTCGCAGGGCCTCTGGCGATGGCAGTGGAGAAGTTTGAGACAGCGGCCACAGCCTTGGACCAACACATATCCACACTGCAGAAGGGCAGCCATGAGTGAGTATGCGGGCAGCGGGCAGGGTGCCAAGGGCGGCGTCTGGAGCGGATGCCAGGCTGGCCGTTGGGCTGCTGGCTCCAGGGTGACCTGTAGGCCCTGCCTCTACCAGTCCCCTGAAGGTCCGGATGCTCAATGACCAGCTGATGCTCTTGGAACGAACTTTCCTGAACCCGAGAGCCTTCCCGGAGGAACGCTACTACAGGTGAGTTCACCCCAGAGCTCCTGGGAGATGCCCAAGGCGGGGCTGGACAATGGTCACCGAGGTGGGGGGTGGGATGTCAGTTCCTCTGCCCTTTTGAGCACATCCAGCCCCTTGAGACAGCTGGGGACTGTGAGGTCCAGGGGGCCAAACTGGTTGAGGGTCACCCTGAGAGCTGAGACTCGGACTTCCATCTCTGTCACCACCACTGCTAAGGGCCCCAGCTTCCAGACAGGTGTGTGTGTGGGGGTTGCTTTTGTGCCTAGCTGCAGCAGAAGCCGAGCAAGTTCAAGGCTGAGGCTCCTCATTCCTGGCCACCGACTGAGCCTGACCTTGTCCCGTTTCCTGCCAGCCATGTGCTCTGGGCACCCCGCATGGGCTCAGTGGCCACGTTCCCGGGCCTGGCCAATGCCTGCTCCAGGGCGAACGATGTGGGCGCCGGATCGGAAGCTTGGGCCGAGGTGCAGAGGCAGCTCAGCATTGTGGTGGCGGCCCTGGAGGGTGCAGCAGCCACCCTGATGCCTGTGCCTGACCTCTGACCCCAGGCCCCTTCTTACCCTAACCCTCTCCCACCCTTTGCCCTGGGGTGTGTCCCAGTCTTCCTTCCCTGGTGCCAGGAGGGAGTACAACCATGAGACCCTCTCAGGCTTCTCAGGCAACAGCTTGGCTTCCCAGGGGAAGCGGCAAATCCCAATGGAAACCCCTCTCATCCTGACACTTGGTTGGCAGAGGGTGGACAGCAGGAGGCGGGGATGGTGGGGGAAATGGCAAAACCGCCACTGCTCTTGGTGGGCGGGGAGGATGGCATGCGTAATGTCAACCACAGAGATCACCACGGCCACTCCTAGAGGACCAGCAGGGAAACTGAGGCCCAGTCAACGTTCCTCTCCCAACATACTTTCAGTGTGTCTCAACACCCCCCGCGTGATGCCCCCAAATAAATCAAGTCTAGCGACCAGTCCTTATAAAACAAGTTCCTTTTACTGTCCGGGAACTCCGGACAAAGAAACCTCAGCACTCTGGCCCAGTCCCGGGGCTCCCGGAAGCTGCATGTTTCGTCCGCGGGCAGGGAGTCCGGGTCTGTCCACACCCTCGCCTTCCCCCTCCTCCAGGACCACCTCTTCCAGGGTGTGCCCTCGAAGCTTGCTCCCCACCAACACATCGCAGGCACCGGCGGGCGGCAGTCCTTTCTCTGCGTAGCGACCCCGCAGGAAAACAACTCTCTCTTCTCCATCCAAAGACAGCCCGTGGGACTGGCACAGGTCGCGCGCTTCCTGGGGTCCATCCAGCGCCAGCAGCTGGACCACGAAGTCTAGAGGCAGGCTCTGCCCCTTGGAAGTGCTCAGGGCACGGGCCAGGCGGGCCAGGGCTCCGCGGCGGGCACGGCCCACGTGGCACTGCACGGCGCAGCTCGGCAGGTAGGGCAGGGGCCGAAGCAAGCGGAAAAAGCGCGCGGCATTGCCCTCGCGGAAGGCGGCGTCCACCGCC